TATTATTTTATTTATATTTTATATAACTTTTGGAAAAATTTATGGATCAATATTATTATTTTTTATAATAAATATTTATGTTCTTTCACCCTTTCATCTGGCACGCTCTTTTTGTAAATCGGATCATACACCTTTAACAAGGGGGGTCAAAACTTTAAACATGCGTATTGTTACTAAGATATTTTCAATTTAATTTTTGAAAGTATTCCGGAAATACTGACACTTTTATATATATCTTAAATTAAAGCTTATGTAATATACTTTAATTTGAAAAAAAAAAATTTGACCTCTGGACTTGTCTTCGTGGTGAAAACGGACATCAAAGTTAAAGAAAAACGTACGATTTCCGTGAAAAAAATCTCGATTTTATATGTTATATTATTTAATTTATATTTTATATAACTTTTGGAAAAATGTATGGATCAATATTATTATTTTTTTATAATAAATATTTATATACTCCTTTCATCTACACGCTTTTTTTGTAAATCGGATCATACCCCTTTAACAAGGGGGGTCAAAACTTTAATCATGCGTATTGTTACTATGATATTTTCAATTTAATTTTTGAAAGTATTCCGGAAATACTGACACTTTTATATATATCTTAAATTAAAGCTTATATAATATACTTTAATTTAAAAAAAAAAATGTGACCTCTGGATTTGTCTTCATGGTAAAAATGACTACCGTATTCAAAAATTTGCTATTTTTGTGTTAAAATTCTGGGTTTTGTATTTTATTTTATTTTAAAATACCTGACAAGGGGAGTACAGATTTTCATAAATATTATATAAATAAAAAATTAATATAGCATAGAAAGTTAAACTTATTTAAATTTGTTTGCTTCTTTTAAGTCGAGAAAAATAACTTTGAAATTTGATTTAGCTTAAATAGCCAATTTTTTCATGCGACGGTAACAACATACGGTTGCCGAGTTGGTAAAACTCGTGTTTAACACGCTTGGGGTACAAGGTTGCAAGCAACCCTCGTATGGCAATGAATTTTTTGCATTTTTTCTTAATTCTTTTTAAGTTAGTATAAATTTTTAACTCGTTTGATTTTTATTTCATTTAGATTCAATAACTTCAATAAAGATCAAGGATCCCATAATTTTAGTCGACCCTTGTAAGAAGAAATTTCTTATTCGTATTAAAATTATTTTACTATATTTTAAGTTTTAGCTTCGATGCAAAGCTGAGAAGATGTTTTTTTGTGAATATCATTTATTTTCTCTGCTCTAACTTGACCTNATCATTTATTTTCTCTGCTCTAACTTGACCTACTTTTTTCAACGATCCGTCAAATGACTACAATTCGTATCTAGTTGAAGATATTACCCTCAAAAATTGAAAAATTTTTTTATCTAATTTATCAATTAAACAGTTAGTTATTACATGGTCTCCATAAAGACAATTAAAATCATTAATTTCTAATGTTTTCAAA